AGACCTGCGCCCTGCGGAATCAAGATAACTGGAAACAAAGAACTGATGTACAGAACCTATTTATTACCAAGAGTTGCTCCATTAAAAACTAAACGAGTATCGTTTAACTTCTGCCTCTGTCCAGTCAATTTAAGCTTACCTGTGTGCCTTAGATCCGAGTACAAATTGGACATTTTTGGGTATCATATGCCCTGGCGTTGCTGGTTATGTATGTCCACTCCGTATTGCCACATTTGGCGTTGCTGGCAGGATTCCGCTAAGTTAAAGGGGCAGAGACTTTTTTGTTGTTTGTTTTTTTTGTTAACTTTCCTATTTAATTCCTGTAAAAAAAAAAAAAAAATCCAGAGCAGCGATGGTGGTGTTGGGACCCAAACATTTTTTCTTCAGGACCTTTGGCAGTTTCTTGAGCTGACATGGAAGAAGTGCAGCAGCTAAAAGATCTTGTTTTACAGCTTCAGGCGGATAATGAGCGGCTCCGTCGGGATCGTGCTGGTTCCTTGGACCCTGGCGAGGGCGCCTCTCAGTCCTCCGCTTCACATGCACAGTCCCCCACCCCCGCTGTAGCGGAGCGGTTGTTGGTGGTACCAAGGGACCGCAAGTGCCCCATCTTTAATGGGAAGGCTGGCTTGGGGATCGCTGAATGGGTCGAGGAGGTTGAGGCATGTATGCGGGCCCGACATTTGACTGCTGTGGACCGGGCTCTTTTCATCTTTGACCACTTGGAGGGAGAGGCTAAACAGGAGATCAAGTTTCGTCCCGCTGATGAACGTAGCGACCCAGGTAAAATCTTGTCCATTTTAAAGGAGCTCTATGGTTGCCATCAGTCTTACATAACTTTGCAACAGGACTTCTTTGCTCGGCGTCAGATGGAGGGTGAGAGCCTTCAGGAATTTTCACTAGCTTTGATGTCCCTGATGGCGCGAGTTAGACTGCAGGCCCCAGACGGAATGCCAAATGCAGAAGTGTTGTTGAGAGATCAATTTACAGAACATGTACTGGATTGTGCTCTGCGCCGCGAGCTTAAACAGCTGGTTCGAAGGCAGCCCACACTTACTTTGATGGAGCTTCGTGCTGAGGCGATGAGGTGGGAACGTGAGGGCCAGCCAGGGGGCGCTCGGGGTCGTAGCTATTCCTTACCATCAGCTCTTGGCTTCCAATGTGGCGTGCAGGGTGGTGCCCAGACCAACCCTCCGGGTGGGCAGTCTGGGCCTACAATGAAAGAGCTTATGGATCTACTCAAGCAACAGCAGGAACAGTTGAATAAATTAACTCAAACAGTCATATCATTGCAGGCCCCTTCTCCACATGAGGATGGTTCACATTCAGTTCTCCTTTGCTGGCGATGCCAACAGCCTGGGCATTTTGCACGGGATTGTACTGGTCCCCGGGTTTACAATCAACCGCGAAGTAGGGTGGGTGGTCAGAGGTCAGGACATTCCTATGGGCAGTCGGAAAACTAGCACCCACTGAGTTGTTGAGCCGCAGCTCAGGCGGGGAGCCCTTAGGCTTACAGATAGACCCAGCCTGTGGACTGGTGGCGCCGTGCCCAAATATGGAAGTTTCCATTGGGGGTGTTTTGGTCTCTTGTTTGGTGGATACTGGTTCCATGGTTTCTACCATTATGGAGAGTCTGTTTCACGAGCAGTTTGCTGAATGGGGCCAAGATCGCCTTCGTTCCTGCAGCTGGCTTCGGCTTAAGGCTGCAAATGGACTGGAGATCCCCTATATCGGGTACTTGGAACTTGATGTGGAATTGTGCGGCAAAATTGTTTCACGCTGTGGGATTTTAGTGGTGAGGGACCCCCCTGGTGCAGTTTCTTCCACTCCTGGTATCTTGGGGATGAATGTTATACGCCGATGCTATGCAGAGCTTTTCAATGCACTGGGCTCTTCTCTTTTTGAGGCTCCTGCTGTAGTGGGGGCACCTCAACCTGTCATCATTGCTTTACAGCAGTGCCATGCTGCCGACTTGGACAGGGATTTGGCCACAAGTACGGTGAAGGTTCGAGGGAAGCGGGCAGTCAGAGTGCCTGGAGGAATGGTTAATTTAGTGGCTGGCACTTGTTCAGAGAAGTTTGCAGGAGGTAATGTCTTGTTAGAACCTCCGGAGACTGGATGGTCTGCTTGTGTCATCTTGCCTAGTACGAGTGGTTCGTGGGACAGCGTATATTCCGGTTGTCAATGTGGGGACGAAGGCTGCTCTTCTCTACCCACGGACCACTCTTGGCAGGCTCAGTGAGGCACAGGTTGTTAGTCTGCCGGCCTGCATTATAGAGGATCGAACTACGACTGCCTCTGTGAACTCTCAGAACATTGGGCCCTCTATTAGACAGAGGTACCGTCGCATCCCGCCGTCAGAGTACGAGGCCGTTAAGGCTCACATCAACCAGCTGCTTGAGGCTCAAGTAATTCGTGAGAGCTGCAGCCCGTACGCCTCACCAATCGTTTTGGTGCGGAAAAAGGATGGCAGTTTACGCCTCTGCGTAGACTACCGCCTGCTTAACAGCAAAACGCGGAAGGACGCTTTCCCTCTGCCTCGGATCGAGGAGACACTAGACTCGCTATCTGGGGCTGTCTGGTTCTCAACACTCGACTTGGCCAGTGGCTACAATCAGGTCCCTGTGACGGAGGCAGATCGGCCCAAAACAGCCTTTTGTACCCCCTTCGGCCTTTTCGAGTTTAACCGCATGCCTTTCGGGCTGTGTAATGCCCCGGGCACCTTCCAGCGGCTGATGCAGAGGATGTTTGGGGATCAGCAGGGTCAGTCCTTGCTGCTATACCTCGATGACATCATAGTCTTCTCATCCTCTGTCGAACAACATCTCCAGCGGCTGGAAGTGGTGCTCGGGCGGCTTAGGACGGCCTAAAGGTGCGGCTCGAGAAGTGCTCATTCTTCCAGCGCGAGGTGGGGTACTTGGGCCATGTAATCTCAGATCAGGGGGTGTCTACTGATCCCAAAAAGATCAAGGCAGTGTCCCAGTGGAAGCGTCCCCAGAATGCCCCTGAGCTGCGCTCATTCTTGGGCTTTGCTAGCTACTACCGCCGGTTTGTGGAGGGGTTTGCTAAGTTGGCGGGCCCTCTACACCGGCTGGTAGCGGAGCTGGCGGGCAGTAAATCAAAGAGGGGCTCGGGCAGTGTGTTTGGGGCTGCTTGGACGTTACAGTGTGAAGAAGCGTTTGAGGCCTTAAAAGCAAAGTTGGTGTCTGCGCCTGTCTGCAGACTTTGCAAAGCCTTTTATTTTAGAGGTGGACGCTAGTTATAGTGGCCTGGGAGCTGTCCTCTCCCAAGAGACACCCAGTGGGGTGAGACCGGTGGCTTACGCTAGTCGTGGATTGCGGCCCACAGAGCGCAATATGGCAACTTATAGTTCCATGAAGCTCGAATTCTTAGCGCTCAAGTGGGCGATGACGGAGAAGTTTCGCGAATATTTGTTGGGTCACAGGTGCACAGTGTACACTGACAATAATCCGCTTAGCCATCTCCAAACCGCAAAGTTGGGGGCGACAGAGCAAAGATGGGCCGCTCAGCTTGCTACCTTTGACTTTGAAATAAGGTACCGTTCGGGTCGAAGTAACAAGAACGCGGATGCTCTATCCAGGCAGCACCCGTCGGGCTCGGAGACCATGGCTCAATTGATGCCTGGTACCCAAACCCCCCTTCAGCTGCAGCATGGGCCGGTGCTATGGGACAAACTCACGACCACCCAATCGCTGGTCTCTGCGCTCCCAAGTCACTCAGCGGCCCACCTTAGATCATTACAGGAGGAGGACCCCTGGTTAAGGGAGGTTCTTGGGTATTTGCGGCAGCAAACTAATCCCTCTCCTGCTGAGCGGCGTCTTCTTTCAAGGCCTGCCCTGGCCCTGCTGCGCCAACGTAAACGTCTGGTGGAACAAGAGGGAGTTCTCTTTCGCAAGACGTACCGTTCAGATGGGGGAGAGGAAATCTTACAGCTTCTCCTGCCAGTTTCTTTACGGGCTGAAACCTTGGGCAGTCTTCATCAACAACATGGCCATCAGGGCATGGAAAGGACCGCAGAATTGGTCCGTCAGAGGTGCTATTGGCCGGGAATGTTCAATGACGTCCGGAATTGGGTACAGGAATGTGAGCGGTGCCAGGTGGCAAAGGACACCGGACAGGGGTCACGCAGTTACATGGGTCACCTGCTAGCTTCCCGCCCAAATGAGATCTTGGCCATAGATTTCACATTGCTAGAACCTTCGCGAAATGGATATGAGAATGTCATGGTTATGACTGATGTGTTTAGTAAGTTTACTGTTGCGGTTCCTACACGAGACCAAACTGCTCCTACAGTGGCCCATGTGTTGATTTCAGAGTGGTTTTATAAGTTTGGGGTTCCAAGTCGCTTGCATTCTGACCAGGGGAGGAGTTTCGAGAGTGCCTTGATTCGACAGCTCTGCTCATTGTATGGGGTGGAAAAGTCGCGAACAACGCCGTACCATCCGGCTGGCAATGGCCAATGTGAGCGATTTAATCGCACACTTCATAACCTTCTTCGCACGTTACCATTGCCACAGAAGAGTAACTGGGCTGCTTGTTTACCTCAGGTGCTCTTCTGCTACAACACCACACCTCATCAGGGTACTGGGGAGTCTCCATACTACCTGCTGTTTGGTCAAGAGCCAAGGCTCCCGATTGACTTCCTCCTGGGGAGAATTGATGAGCCAAGGCCAGCCGAGGTGCAAGGCTGGGTAGCAGAACACCAGGAGAGGCTGAGAGCTGCTTTCAGTTGTGCTCGTGAGAGGCTTCTGGTGGCTGCAAACCGCAGGAAGGAGCGGCATGATCTACATGTGCGGGACACACCACTGGTGGTGGGTCAGCATGTCTATGTGAGGGACCATAGTGCCAGAGGGCGAAACAAGATCCAAGATCTTTGGAGCCCAGTGGTCCATCAGGTTGTGCGTGTCCCACCTGGACAGGGTGTAGTTTACTCAGTGGCCCCGGTAGATGATTTGGGTAGAGCTAGGAACTTGCATCGTGACATGCTGAAACCAGTGGTGAAACCTGCAGATCTGGCACATCTGGCGCCCCACTCCCCATCGGAACCAGAAGTGACCCCTCTTGATGACTCTTCAAGTAGTGATGTGTGGCTCCTGGTTTCTGAAACTAATGGGCCAGTGGGTGCTCCCAGTGCACCACCTTGTGTTCCCCCCAGGTCTGGGCCAGATCTCGGTCAGGCTACTTTCACCGCTGTACTACCTGGTCATGAGGCGCCCCCTTTGGTTGACCCGGACCACCCAACATTGCGTCGCACCACCCGCCATGGTGCGGGCCAACATTCAAACATTTACCGGCTCCCTCGTCATACTCGGCCATTGATACGTGAACACGGTGGCGCGTCGAATCCTAGCTCTAACCTTCAGGCTGCCATCTTTCGGCCGTGGTCCTAACTGTCTATCGTCGGGACGACGATACAAAGGTGGGGGGTAGATGTAGCAGTGTGGAGTGCGTCTGCCCTCCCCTTACCTGTTTCATTGAAACACCACCTCACGCACCTGCCTGCCACTAATTGCAGGGGCAGGACCTGTGGGTTGTTTTTTAAGCCTGAGCCTGAGGGCGCTCACTCTTTTGCCACTCCTGCGGGAAGCAGCAGTCTCTTTGGGTCCGTGGAGTTGTGCTGGTGGGGAGCCTCACACAGTGGTTGGTGGCCCTGTTGGCACGTATGTGGGCTTGTGCGGCGTGAGCGCTGCCCTGGGAAACGCCTTCTGCTCGTTTTGGTGAGTGCGCATCATTTATCCCACACTTCCACTTGCGCGCATTTGGCACTCACACGCTTTCCTCCTGCTCCAGTGTGGCCAGCTCCTCCAGTGTGGCAAACCTTAGTGAAGGGCCTGTGTGAGCCCGTTGTGCTTCTCAGACGTTACTTGTGGGTAAGTATGGTGCCATCTTCCCTCTGACCCATTTGGCTGTCCCCAGTCACCCTAACAGCTCATTTTAATTTAGTTGGTGCTAAATTACGCACAGCGGAGGTTGAGAGCGCGCCTCCGTTCGGGGTCTGGGGGACCGGTGCTTTCTCTGATTGGTGAGTTGCCGTTATTGCCTGATGTATACTCAAATTCTAATCTTTAGTGGTCTAACCCCAGCTTCCCTGCACTTCAGCGGGACCGAGCTGCACCTCCCGCGGCAGTTTGGAGACTGCCAATCATCACAAGTACACAAATTCTGAGCCCCGTTTCCACCGGCGCAGCTCCTCCTGCCTCCACTGCTCTGGATTGACCCCACAGGCCAGAGTCGCTCCAGTTGTGGACACTGATCATCAATATAAGGCCCACAGAGCACCTGGACACCCAAACTGTAAATTTGTACATTTTAACTGTAATTGAGTTTAGGATTGTTTAATCTTTTTTTTTCTTTGTCCTTTGCATGTGTGTGTGTGTGTGTGCATGTGTTTTTTTGTGTTTGGCTTTTGGCAATTACCATTATTAATCAAATGTTCCTAACTTAAAAATGTTTTAATGAAAATAAATGTTGTACTTTTGTAGTCAAGTTTTGGTTTTGTCTCTGCCCCCATCACTTTAAAAAGGGAAGCGAACCTGTGTCTGCCTTGTGCAGGGTCCTAGGCCTATCCTAGGTGGCGTTGTTGACAATAGCAAAATTTTTAACCTGTACTTTTAACCCTCGTTATGTCACACAAAGATCTCACTCCCAGGTCGTTAAGGGAATGTTCGATCCGACTCACACCCCGTTGTGTCCCCACTGTGCCCTCGACCACGACTCTGACCAACGACTCTGAAACACTCCTTGTTTTCCGCGGACAGCCGCTCGTAAATCTTCTGAGTGGACAGCCCTCCGACTTTGCGGTAGATCAAGCCAACTCCAAATCCAATCAGGAGGAACCCTGCTACCATAAATCCAAAAATGCATATATCCTCAATGTCCTCGATGGACAGTCCCGACAGACAAACGGGGTGCCACTTTTGCCAGTTGTCAAAAACGTACCCAGCAGCCGCCGTACCATCCGGGCAAACGGCATCTCCAGAACCGCCTTTACGTGATGAAGAAATAGTATCAATTGCGTTGAGGGACCAGTTGATTAATTCCATCATTTTTCAAGTTGTACACAGGCAGAACTCTAGGAAAAAAGACAGTCAGGGCAAGCAGAGCAGGAGCAGGAGCAGGCAAGAGACACGTCTGACCTCGAGGAGAGCAGGAGGAGATTTATTGTGGATTTATTGTTAAAAAACAAATACAGTTCTGTACACTGTTGTCATTTATTCCATTCAAACAACTATTTACATATGACATAATTGTGCCGATAGTTCGAAATGCGATAAATTATGATTATTTAATGTTATAATTAACTCAATTAAAACATTTAATTGTTTCACAGCCTTATTATGTGCATGTTAGCAGCATGAGGCTCTGGGACAGCGGCTCAGTAAGTGACTGTGACACATGTGGTTCTATAATGCATATTATAATTATTGCACAGATGCACGACATGTGAGGGCAGCAGCGTTATCTAATGTAGGACATATTGAACCTGGAAGTGGTGTGTGATTGACATTTAACGTCTGCTTTTCCCTGTCTTTCAGTAAACCATCACAGCCTGTTTAGGACCAGTTCCTGCTCCCAGCACCAGCAGCTGTTCTGACTGATAGTATTTTAAACATGCTGCTCAGAGACATGTGCCTGATCTGGTTCTGTTCGATCTGGAAGGACTCGAACATCAACCGTGGTACAGGTGCTATCTGTCTTCTTTTGATAATATGAATGCAATAAAGTGTATACAATTTTTAAACAGTTGTCATTATTAAATGTTTTTTTTTATTTGATATTGTATATTTTTAATTAGGCAAAAATAGGATTTATTTCTCAATTAATCGGTCGGTGTATTTGATAGAATAGTCGATTACCAAAATATTCGATAGCTGCAGCTCTAAAGGGGACATTCCGGTGCCAGCAGCATCATTTCTAGTGTTATCATTTTGAGGATGTGTTGTCGGTTGGTCTACTGCTCCTCCACTTTGTACCTCACCTTCTCACAATTTCGACATTGTGTGATCTCAAAAAAGCAGTGCAGCTCTGGTGGTTTACATGATTGTCATTGTCATCAATGATGTAACTCTGAATGACGTGCGCCAGGCATTTGACCTTCTCCACTTTCACAAGCTCCACTCTAGACAATTAAAGAACAGGAAAAAGGTTCTTTGGTCCTCACTACCCTTTTAAGCTCCCTGCCAAACCTGTTGGCCCCGTGCCAACATCCTCAGCTCGAGCTGTGTATCTCAGGAGCAGCTATATGTTCGTTTGGGATTTTAAATAAAACTCACTAGAAAATATGAGGCACAATCCAAACAGCCAATTAGAAAAAAACACAGTCTCATTATCACTAACTTCACTCTTCAAGTACCTTACCTTGGCTTCTCTGTTTAGCGTTGTTTGGTGTAGTGGTTCTTTTGGCACCACAGGTAGCTATCCCAGCTTAAATGTGTGTTCTTTCAGATATAATGCAAACCAGGTGTGGGTCTGAGACAGTTACGTCTTGAAACATAGAGTGGTTGGAGTACATATGAGCTTTATTCACCACCACCACATGCACCCTCTCCAACAGAACTTACAATTGTAGACAGCTGTACATTGCATATTTCATTTGGATTCGGCACACGGTGTTTGCATGCTCCTCTCTCCCATGGCACAGACTGGCAATTATGCCCAATTATTACATGAGGTAAGATACAACCATCATTTCAATCTAAACAATATTGCCTTCATTTCTATGAAAAAAGTCAGTCTTACAATCAATTTAGTACTATTCTAGTTTTAAAAGAGAATACATGTGTCAACACTGGCTTGAAAGGGCGAGTACATGGCTTTGGACAGTTAGGACGCTACATTCTAGATGGACATGGAGGTGAAGCTTCTACAAACTCTCAAACTCAGATGGAGGGTAAGGTGTCGCTAAAGGCCGACTATGGAACCTCGGCTGACTCCCTTCACTTAAACTTGACGTGAGCCAAGTCTTCCAGTCCAGTAATTAAAGTGCAATTTCTAATTTCAAGCTGTTTAAATAATGCTTTTAGGAGTGTGTACAACTAAATCCATCTGCTTTAAAGTTGACATGTTAGTAAGTAAGTAAGTAAGTAATCTTTATTTATATACCGCCTTTCACAGACCAGAGTCACAAAGCGGTTTACAATTGTTATTATTTTTGGGCATTTGTCTCTCACTCCACACAGAGATGGGAGCGGGGTCGCCAGTACAGGAGGCGCATGCCAGACCTATTGTACATGTTTTTAGTGGTAGGGGAAACCGGAGTACCCGGAGGAAACCTACGCAGACACGGGGAGAACATGCAAACTCCACTCAGAAAGGCCCTGGTCTGGCCGGGATTCGAACCCAGGACCTTTGTTAACACTGTTCACTCTTCCAAAAGTTGTTGTTGATGACAAGTTTTCTTTCTAGCCATGCTAATATCAGGATCGTCTGGCACAAAACAATATTTAGATGTAAATGCTCCTATCTCGATCTTGTTATATTATACATTCATAGAAATAGCCATTTTCTGCTGTTTAAAACAAAAATAATTTCATTTAGTTTTGGCTATTTCTTTCATACCACATCTTTTACAACAACTTGCCTTCAGCTATACCACACCTCTTGGAATGTAGTTCCCTAATTCTGCCACTAGGCAGTGTTGGTGCATTCTAATCCTCTCTTCCTCTACTTCATAGATTCTCTATTTTCTACTTTTTTATTAATCAAAAAACAAAGGAAATGCTAAACAGATCATTAAGGGACAAAATTGACACAAATCATGCATCAAATTTGTGCTTCAAAAACATTCCTTATAAATTGAATTCTCTCAATCCTTGCCCTCCATCTGCAATACTAATTTTTTCGCATGACCTCAGCCGAGAGGAACAAGACAAGGTTATGCCCGCATGTTTGGAAAATGTCATGTTGGACTATATAAATGCCAGTGTTGACCAGGACGTTCATTGTCATAGATAGCAGGACCAGTAGACCACGTTGAAGAAGAGAAAGGAGAAGGGGAAGAGCGCGCGTGCATAGAGGTCGATGCGTTTTGCAGCTGCGGGGATGACCGGTTTGGGCGGAGGTGGCTTCTTGTTGGCTTTTTTCTGCGACTTGAGCCCTCCTGCCACCTCGATGGGTTTACCGTAACAGTCAAAGTTCGACAGTTCAAAGTCCCGCGGTAAAGAGCCCACGATGCTGAAGTCGTTGGAGCGGAGGTCTGACTTAGAGGTGCAGACTTTTTTACAGGGCTTTTCTGCCACCTAGAGGAAAAAACAAGTTATTTGTATTTGACCATGTTTGAAGCTACAATGCCTTTCTCCAAACCCAATGAATGACACAGGCTCTCCGAATGCGTAATGCCCAAAAGTACATCCACACATCAGCTCTGAATCTGTCACAATTCTCATATCACCACAGTACTTGTGTTTACATATCTTGCATGGTATTGTCGATCTAGTGATATTTAAAATAACATTTTAATTGCAACTGTGATTTTAAAAGTAGATTAGAAATACACTAATCCCTAACCATATCTTTTAATCACTGTGACGGGTCAATTTTACCGGAGGATAGCAAAAGGATTAAAAGATTTTTAAAGATAGGATTGTTAATAATGTAATCAGGAACTTCCTTATCGCTTATGCCAACCTGAAAAGTTTGAAAAGTCTGCTGTTTGCTGTTCCCCATCTGAAGATTATGGCTGTTACTCTGTGACTACAATCTTTTCCTTTTCAAATGCTGGATGTTGTGTTTTGTATATATTTTGATAATAATTATAAATAAATAATAATGCATCGGATTTATTAAGCGCTTTTACTTTTTACTTTAGCACGCTAACATTGTAAAGACAGAAAAGGCTTTTGTTTTTTCAATTGGGACACTAATGGCATGGCCATTTTAATCTTAATCCTAATCTTAATCTTAATTTTCACTCACACATTTTAGTGCAGACCTGTTGTTGTAATAACCACAACAATCTCTGACAAATCAATTGGCTGATTCTTCAAAGTAGGTATGTTATTTACACATTTTATAAACCTGAAAAACATTTGACAAAACATTGTTGTGAAAGCAGCATTAGACACTATTTGTACACAGAAAAACAGTGACAAATGAGATGAGTGCTCTCATCAGGTTGGTCTACAACCGTTCACAAGGACATGTTGTGTTTCATAGTACACTGGGTTTAGAGGGGTCAGTATGAAACGTAACAACCTAATGTTAAATGAGAAGAGGCAAAGGCTGCTTAATCTTGAGCTGCTACAGGGCTTTTACATGAATGCTGAGTGGTGAAATGACAGCTGGTATTTCACCTGCAGAGTGTTGACGTGGATTGGGGTTCCTCCTGTCCCGTTCACTGTGTTCTTGTTGTTCTTTTTGCCCTCTTTCTCTTTTTCTCTCAGTGCCTTTTCTCTGGTCGCCATTTTGGCCTTCTCCTCTTCAATTAGCTTGGGACTGTTCAGCATGACCTAGAGAGAATGCAAGGTCACGTTAGTATGGTGCTTTTCTATGTTACAAGACTCACCAGAGACCCAGACAATGGGGATGAGGTGTGTGAAGTGTCTTTCCCAAGGACACAACAGGAGCTGGTTTCATACTAACTGCTGGTTGCTCGAAGTTGATTGCTGTAATGTTTGTGAGTTGTGGTAATTGTGGTCCAAATATATAAATACCAGCTAATCTAAATTGTAATGAGCCTGCTCTTAAAAACATGATTGCTCCCTGCGGCCCTTGCTTATGACAAAAATGCTTTTCGGGCACGCAAGGGGCTCTCCCACGCTGTTACGCTGAAGTATGACATAGACTTAAGACATTCCCAAACGGGAATTATAAATGGAAATTTAACACAAGAGAAAGTCAGTGAGCCTTACAGAATACCAGCCACCTGCTCAGTGATTCACATTACAGACATACACACAACAAGAAACGGTCCAATCACATGCTTAAGTATCTTCCTGAGAATTGTTCCTCCATTATTTTTTCACCAATTATGAAGAATATGTGGTGAAAAATATAATGGATGAACAAAGGATCTACAATGGTTAAGCACCCCCATCTAGTGGAAGAATTGAGAAATGACACATCTTCCAGTTGTAAAGAATGGGAATGGTAAAATAACACAGAACTGTGTTTTAAGTCTATGAATTAATTATTTTGACAAACATGTCAGATTTCCAAATAGGCAATGTCTATAAATGTCATGGCCCACTGTTGGTGAGACATCGAATGACAGGGCTTCTATCTTTTTAGCAGCTGTAAGCCCTGCCAAGAGTCTTTTTGAACACCTCAGAAACTGTAGCTGTCTTCTAAGATACATGAGTGAACCTCAGGAGCTCCTTATTCTGAAAATGCTGGATCCTTGATAAGGGCAGACAGGGAGCGTTTTTGTCTGAGAACAAAGAGATGAGGTGTGCAAGGTCACTTTCCAGTGTTGTTAAGAACACAATAGGAAAAATAACTAAGTAGAACATGTTTCCCTTCACTGGCTTCCCTGAGTGTTGAGTTGGTTTCACCATCTGAGGGTACATTTTGGTTTCGACCCTGCTGTTATTGTTGAATATCATGAAGGATTTCAACAGACCTCTCAGTGTGTGATTTTAGACCGCCATAACCCCGTTTTTTCTTTATAAAACACACCTGCACCACAGCAAACTCAACCAGGGACAGGAAGCCGAACAAGAGGCAGGTGATGAGCCATATGTCCATGGCCTTCACGTACGACACTTTGGGCAACTGTGAGGCCAGCGTCATGCTCTCACTGGACAGAGACAGCACTGACAGGATCCCTGTGAACACACAAACATAAAAAAAATTCATACAAACGATTCAAGCCAGTCTCAGTGTGAAGTTGCTTGTGTCTTGTGTTGTGCCTTGTCTTTAAGAATTACTGAAGAGTGGGAGATGATTTAATGAGACCGGTCAAAACCATAAACTGTCATTGACTTTTCATTGAAACTGGATGCTACACATGGTCCAGTGTGAACGCTCATGAACCAATGCTGTTCATGAGCTGTTGTCCGTCTGTGTTCTGTCATCCGTCACCAGATCGGATGACAGAACCGGCCGATTGCGCCACAAGAGGGTCATACATACTGCCTCCTCAGTCTTTGATTCGTGGGTAAAACTATTCTCAAGAGCACATAAACTAACTTTAATGCACTCTTTTTGTCTGTTAATTCATTGAAAAACGTTTACTGATACACCCTTTCATAATTATCAAAAACAATACCTCTTAGATTGGTTTACATCAACATCACAATTCTTCTGCTTGGTATCCTTTCCCTCAGCCCTAAGTCTATAGGGCTTATGGTACTTAGGGTAAGTAATTCCATAATATTTTAGGAAAATGTAAACATACGTCAAAGTGACATTACTTTGGATATCATGTCAACATGCAGAAAATAAAAAGATGAAAATACAATATTGGAGAAATCTGCCCATATGAATCACTATGTATACTCCTTGGAATGTACAATATAAAGTAATCAACTGAAACACGCTTAAAACAAGAGTCAATGTAAACTGCATTTTCCCCACATCTCGACCCCTCACACTCATAGTGGGGGTCTTTAAATCAGCTTAGCATTCAGCGCTCAGCCCAAAGAGTCGAGGACTCGCTCTTAAAACGTATGCAAAAGTATGCATGTAATAAAAAGTAATGAGATACAGACAGTCGGTGGGGGTATGATTTGATCACAACATTTTACTTTAATTTAGTGAAATTAAATGAGCTTCAGGAGAAGACAAAGGGGAAGACATGGAAACTTCTGGAGGCTCTCATAATCCAGGTCTGTTTCTTGCAGTGCAGGTTCTGTATTGGTCTCGGACTGAGGCTGCACAAAGATACGCACTTGCCTTGGCCTTTTCTAGTAATGTTCATCTATATATAACTGTTTTACTTTTTTCTAAAGCAAACAGAGTTATTCAGTTTTTTACACCTTTTGCTTTTAGTGACGTTTTACAAGTGAGTATAGACAAGCAGAAACTCATTCATCAAGTTCTTTAAATGCCATTCCTGATGCGTTCACACTTCTCTGGTCTGTCCACTTTCACTGGACCCGGTCTGGTTCACTTGGGGAACATACAGATCTGTTTCACACGATTGAGACTTAAGTGATTAACATCCACACAACTAAAATAATGTCCCCCAGTAAACCAGCACTGGACTAGCAGAAGTGAACCAGACCGAGATGTGTGAACATGCCCTGATTGTGTGGTATGGTTTCGCATGTTTCCAAATATGCGCTACAGACCCAGGGGCACTCTTGCAGCCGAAGCATCCGGGTTGATCCAGAAGGAGAGCCAGGACAGGACCACTGTGAGCAGGGTGGGAGCATACACACCCATCAGGTAGAAGCCCACCTGGCGGCGCAGCGTGAAGATCACCTCCACACACGTGTAATGACCTGGCAACACAAGGACAAAACTGAAGAGCACCTCCACGGCACATGCAGGAGGACAAATGAGCAAAAGTATCTCCAAAATATGGGAAATTAAAACCTGGGCCATTTGTCCTTTGGATTATGGGTACATTTGCTGCCCGAGCTTGTGCTGTAATTCTGTTACTTTGGCACTTTATCACTTATTGCCAAAACTAAAATCTATGTCATACTCATTCTTCTTTGCAAAACAGCTCCGTCACATTGCTGGCCTAAACATAAGCATGAATATGTATTTCTAAATATATATATATCATTTTCTAAAAACATGTATTGAATTATTCCTTGTAGTCTATACTCTTCATATTTTAGTTTTCAAAGTTGGTTGGGCGGTTTCCAGGCTCAGCTCGACATTTGGAGGGCTGATATTGATAGATTTTTTAACCAATCAGTGTCAAGGTTTACCGCCGGGACCAGCACCAGGTCTATAGTGCTGGTCCCGGCAGCAACCTCCGAACCCGGTGGTGGACACCGGCAGTAAGGGATGCTGTCAGGCTGAAGAAGGAGTCCTATCGAGCCATGACGGTTTGGGGGACTCCTGAGGCAGCTGTCCAGTACCGGCTGGCCAAGCGTGCCGCGGCCCGGGCTGTTGCAGAGGCAAAAACCAAAGGAGGTTCTCCTCAATCCCCCCGTTACGTCCTCCGTCCCGGAGGCAGAGGCTGAGGAGGTTGGGGCGGAACACTGGACCAGCTCTATACTCTCCATCGGATACTCGAGGGTTCATGGGAGTTCGCCCAACCTGTCCACATGTGCTTTGTGGATTTGGAGAAGGCGTTCGACTGTGTTCCCCGGGGTGTCCTTTGGGGGGTTCTCCGGGAGTACGGGGTCCGTGGTCCTCTGCTGAGGGCTGTCCAGTCCCTGTATGACCGGAACCAGAGCTGTGTTTGCATTACCAGAAGTCAGACCTTTTCCCGGTGCATGTTGGCCTCCGCCAGGGCTGTCCTTTGTCACTGGATGTTCACTGTCTTTATGGACAGAATTTCTAGGCGCAGCCAGGGGCAGGAGGGGGTCCGGTTCGGGGACCACAGGATTCCATCACTGCTGTTTGCGGACGATGTTGTCCTTTTGGCTCCTACGAACCAGGACCTGCAACATGCACTGTGACGGTTTGGAGCCGAGTGTGAAGCGGCTGGGATGAGAATCAGCACCTCCAAATCTGAGGCCTCGGTGCTCGACCGGAAAAAGGTGCCTTGCCCTCTCCAGGTGGAGAGGTCCTTCCTCAAGTGGAGGAGGTCAAGTATCTTGGGGTCTTGTTCACGAGTGAGGGAAGGATGGAGGGCGAGATTGACAGGCGGATCGGTGCAGCGTGCGCAGTGATGCGGTCGCTGTATCGGACCGTTGTGGTAAAGAGGGAGCTGAGCTGAAAGGCAAAGCTCTCAATTTACTGGTCAATCTTCGTTCCCTCCCTCACCTATGGTCATGAGCTTTGGGTAATGACCAAAAGAACGAGATCGCGGATACAAGCAGTCGAAATGAGCTTCCTCCGCAGAGTGGCTGGGCGCTCCCTTAGAGATAGGGTGAGGAGCTCAGTCACACGGAGGAGCTCGGAGTAGAGCCGCTGCTTCTCCACGTCAAGAGGAACCAGTTGAGGTGGCTCGGGCATCTGTTCCGGATGCCTCCTGGACGCATCTCTGGAGAGGTGTTCCGGGCATGTCCCACCGGGAGAAGGCCCTGGGTAAGACCCAGGACACGCTGGAGGGACTATGTCTCTCAGCTGGCCTGGGAACGCCTTGGGGTCCCCCCGGACGAGCTGGAGGAGGTGTGTGTGGATAGGGAAGTCTGGGCGTGTCTGCTTGGACTGCTGCCCCCGCGACCCGGCAACGGATGAAGCGGAGGAAAATGGATGGATGGATGGATGGATGGTGTCAAGGTTTTATCACTGAGGCCAGTATTTACAGTCTGTGGGCCCGTTTGTAAGTGTAGAGCTTCAGATTGTGCATGTATTTTGAGTGGATATACGATATAGAGAGACATGTCAATGTGATAAACAGAAACAAAGGAAAATTCATATTTGTGTAGCGTGACAAGTTCACGTTTTTTCAACCCACACAATGGCTGAAGGAGGTGAAGGTATTAATTAGGTAGATATAGTGACAGCCCTCAAGAAAATCCTTTCAAGGAAAGCTAGACGCTAGCAAGCTTGACTCAACAGAAGAAAGGATTTATTTGCCAATACATGCGTAATCTCAAGGTTCACTCAGTACACTCTGCCAAAGTGGATGAGATAAGGCGGTTGGCTCCGAGGCTTCTGTCTGAGACCGGCGGGGTAAAAAGATTGTTGATCCACGTGGGGGCAGTAGAAGTCTATGACAACACAAGTGAAAAGTTGAAACGGGATTACTCTCTCTTATTGGACGACCTTGCTAAAATGGACGCAACAATCGTTATCAGTGGCCCACTACCAAATGTGGACGGGAAGCAAATGAAATTCAGTCGTCTGTATCAGCTAAATACTTTCCTACTCAACGAATGTTCACGCAGAGTACTTGCCTTCATTGAGAATTTTAATCTGTTCTGATTCTTCTTTTGAAGGGAAAGGGCCACATCTGAACACTTACGGAGTAAAAGTGTTGATGGATAACATTTCTTTTGCCCTGAGACCTCAGCCTGTGCAGCGCGTGCAGCCATCGAAAGGGAGGAAGCCGACTCTAAAAGTCTCTGCACCTCCACCACCTCGAAGGATCTCAACACCACCACCACCTCGAAGGATCTCAACACCTCCACCACCTCGAAGGATCTCAACACCATCACCGCCTCAAAGGATCTCAACACCATCACCGCCTCAAAGGATCTCAACACCATCACCGCCTCAAAGGATCTCAACACCTCCACTGTCATCAGAAGCAGCTGCATCATCACCAGCAGCAGCTGCATCATCACCAGTAGCAGCTGCATCATCACCAGTAGCAGCACCAGCAGCACGACCACCACCACCAACATCCTCATCTCCAGCCTGCTCCGAAGCAGTCACGCCTTCTTCATCTACAGCGCCTCTGAAGCCCCCATCCTCACCCCAGGCTACAGCAGACAGGCCTGTGCTGGGGTTTCCTCAACCACCTGCCCCTCCATCAAAGACTCCCTCGCCACCTCCCATGGACCTGTCTTGGGTCCCCCCTGCCACGTCCACTCCATCAAGAGAGAATGGGGACACCTCCCTTTGTTTTTCATCCCCGCCTTCACTGTTAGACCTACCTGAACACTCTGCAGGGCTAATAAAATCGGCGATGAAGACTATTCCTCTCACACCCATATTAGCTAGATCTAGAGTCCTGTCCAACATGCTAAACCACTCCCCATATGTACCTCCAAAACCACCTAGGGTTTCCAATTCACCTACAAAAACTACCTCAGCCAGTCCCTCCCCTAACCTCATGACCATTCCACCCCCACTTCCCCCTCGTTCAACACCCAAAACCTCTGCCTCAGCCCATCCCGGCCCTAACCCATCACCAAAAACCCCTCCACCTCCCTGCCCCCCGCGTTCAACACCCAAAAGCCACCCACCTCTCCATCCTCCTCCCCCGCCTTCCCCCCCCCCCTCTTTTCTCTAAACACTAGGATGCACAGGGTCTCTGCTTCGCAGCCACTGGCAGTCTAGTTAGAGGAGAGACCCGGCTGGGGCCCTGTCATGACGCCACCTGTGCCATTCCCTTAGTGATAATACAAAGACACATTACAGAAAAACATCTGGAGTTAATCAGTCTAATCTGGAAAATCTAATTCTTGTTCCGTGTAAGAATCAGCTGACCACAACCGCTGATACTGAAACTTTGAAACTTGCTACGCTTAATGTCAGATCTCTTTGTAACAAGTCTTTTTTAATCAATAATTTTATTTGTTCTCATAATCTAGATCTTATGTTCATGGCTGAAACTTGGCTTGACCAAAATTCAGGAAATGCAGTATTAATAGAAGCATCACCACCAAATTTCAAGTTTGAATCTGAAATACGGGAAAACAAAAAAGGAGGAGGCTTAGCTGCCATTTTTAGAGACCACTTTGTCTCCCATAGAATGTCTCTTGGGAAGTTTTCGTCATTTGAATATGTGTCTTTTAAAATACAACAAAAACAATCTCCTCCAATACTCTTCATTGTCCTATACAAGCCACCGCAGTCATGTCACAGTTTTATTGATAATTTTACCGAGTTGCTTTCAGTTGTATGCACAGATTTTGATAGTTTGGTTATTACAGGTGATTTTAATATTCATGTGGATAATGTTGATGACAGAAACGCAAATGAGCTGAGTTCTGTACTTGAATCCTTTGATCTCACTCAGCACGTAAGTGGCCCCACCCACAGCAGAGGGCACACTCTAGATCTGTTAGTTACTAAGGGGGTGAATATTTCAAATGTAAAAGTGGTCGATGTTGCTCTTTCGGATCATTTCTGTGTTTTTTTTTACATGTGTTTCACTAACAAACCACCAGTGGACTCTGCAACTGTTCGAAGAAGGCGCATAAATGAAAATACGAGTGAACTATTTATGGGAATGATAAACTTTGAGAATGCATCGTATTCTACTGTAGATGAACTGTTTAACTCTGTCACCTCTAGTGTTTTGAATGTTCTGGATACCGTTGCCCCTGTGAAGGTTAAAATAGTGAAAAATAAGCAGAAGGCGCCGTGGGCTAAAGCAGACTCGGTCAGGGCACAAAAGAGAAAGTGCCGGAGGGCCGAGCGGAAGTGGCGCAAGTCCAACCACCAGGTTGATTACGAGATCTTCAAAGATAAGCTGTGCGAGTTTAACCGGGTGCTATGTAGTACGAGAGAAAGGTATTTTTCTGAAATGATTGAAGGCTGCAGCAACAATCTGCGTGTTCTGTTCTCAACAGTTAATAGATTAACAAACCCCCCTGTTCAAATGCCATTAGAGCTAACTTCCAAACGTAAATGCAATGAGTTTGCTAATTTTCTCAATGACAAGGTTCAAGGCATCAAAAACGCCATTGTCTCCAATCCACAGATAACCATCCAATAGCCAGAAAGGCTCTTTGAGCTAACTCACTTTGCACCTGTAGATGATCAAACTGTCCAAGAGATAATCTCCAGTTTGAGCTCCTCCACATGCAGCCTGGATGTACTACCCACTAGATTTCTGAAATCTGTTCTGAGCAGTCTGTTACCTTCACTCACACAGATAGTAAACATGTCCCTTCATTCTGGAATATTCCCA